GGGGACGTTGATGCTTAAGTGACCCAAAAAAAAAGAGAGATATTAAAAATTCTAACATTATTTCAACCCCAAATTAACATTTTTATTTGAGGCGTCAAGTGACGTGAAATACTACTCTATCGTATTACCGGTTTAATATATAAAGTATCTCTCTGTTAGGACATCGAAAAAATAAGGTTATCTTGAAGAGTGAGAAGCTATCTAAAATCTATAATCTAATAATATTGCACGTAGTCAAGAATAACGTTTATTTAGTGATGACCCCTTAACCGGTAATATCCAAAAAAAATAAATGTAACAATAGTTACAAAAAGAAATAATAGTGTAGTTTTAATCAGCGGAAAATCTTTAGGCAATTACTCGTTCATAATCGCCAGGTTTCCAATTAATTATTCTAATCATTATCATAGAAATAATAGTTGCTGATTTAATCTTTGATCAGTTATAAGCATATTCAGCAAAAGTCCTCCCTATTTGCTTGGAATATTAGAAGCTCATGGTCGACCAAAGCATAAACGAAACGAATATTTTAAGGAATAAAAAAAAAGTCGATACTCTTTGCTAGTATAATCGAATGTCATATATATCGAAATAATTATGTAATTAAGTGATATACAATCTAAACGATATTATACTACCCGGGTCGCGCCACGTGGAGGCCTAGTATCTGCGAACCATAAGAAGAAGAAAAAAATGTGTAAAGAATAATAGTAAAGAATGGGAAAGAAATGTAAAAGAAAAAAAGTATATGGGATCGGTCAGTTAAAATGTGTAAAAAATAATACTGTAATAGTAAAGAACGAAAAAAAATTAAAGCTTATTTATTCTATTTTGAAAAATCACGTAAATTTGATGTAACAATTGATCACGTAAATTGGCTAATCAAATTTTTTATTTATTGTAAACAATATTGAGTATTATTAAAACCATAATACACGACAGACTCGCGAGCACTTATTTGTGCGAGTGATACAAACCCAAAAAGAGAAATTAGCCAATCGGAGAACGTAAAGTGTGATTATCCCAGATCAGCCCGACACGTGAGCAAAGCAAGAAAAACATAAAGAAAAATGAAAAAAAGCGAAAATACAAGAAAACGGGCGTTTAAATCGACCTTGTTAGACTAATAAAAAATAACGGGGATGAAATTTTGCATATAAGAACCTATAATTTAATATTAAAGCTCGCAACCCTAACACTAACCCTAACACGCTAACCGTAAATTTTAGTTTTACAAACTGTTTATTTTTATGTTGTTTCCTTTTTGGGGTCACTCGCACAAATAAGTAAACTCTTCAGGGCTCATGGTCAGACATTCGTTTGATTGGCTAATGTAAATCAATTGCCTGGGTAACTTATTTATACACTTTAAAGTACTTTTTGATAATGTAACGTTTCACTTATAAAAAATCACAAAAGCCACTCCTAGCTTTAAACGAACTGTGCAAAAGAATCTCACTCCTCGTGGACTTTGTTTAGAAGACAAAATATATCGCCGTCTATTGGGCGTGTGAAATTATACAGTAGAGTGAAGGTAACTGGAGACGTTTTTTGTCTAAACCTATTTTTATTACTATTTCCAACTGTTTAATTTGAATAGGTACAAGCTCTTAGCAGTAGAAGCTTCGGGCTTAATATTTAATTTTGTTGGTTCTTGTAGTGTGTTTGGGATTTGTTACCCGTAAATTAATAGTTAAATTTTGGTTTATATTATATAGATTCTTTAATGAGCTTGGGTTTATTAGTAATAAATATTACATTTACGTGTACCTATCTATTCTCTTTCTCTAAATCTAATTAATAAATTCTTTTGTGTGTATTTATTAGTTTGTAAGTTTCTTTACGCGAGGTTTTTTTCGTTTTCTAGTACTGTAATATTAATTAAAATTATGTAATTTGATTGGTTAATGATCACGGGAAATCACGGGTAGATCTACAAAAATTAATCAATCATACGAATGTCTGACCATGATGAAACTACTGATTTTGCTGTACCGGCTATCCCCGTACCTAAAATGAAAATCACTGAAGACACCGGTACACGTTTATTTCTTTATGCCGCTTGTGATTTGCTAACTTACTTTCAACCTTGCATTTAGATACGTTAGACATTCCGCCAGCTTTTCCCTCTATTGATAGCCCTCAGCGCACAAAACCTTCTCAATCAAAGCTTACTCCTCTCGAAAAAGCCAACAAACTACGAAAAAAAGTAAATTTAGAACCCGGCCACTCTGCCCTAGATTGGGCAAGACTGAAAAATAGCGATTTCAATATGGGGGTAATCTATACTATTTATAACAATCGTTACCGGTAATGGTAATGCTGATCCTTGTTTTCTTTTTTAGGGAGTTTCAGAAATAAGAGGATATACCCTCGATGAGCTCAAACTTCATAAGACAAAGAATGATGCTTGGACTGCAATTAACGGAAAAATATATAATATCACACCATATCTAAAATTTCATCCTGGAGGTATGTAAATCGTATTATCTTTCTAAATGGTATCATAAGACTAAAAAAATGTAAATTAATAGGTGAAAAAGAATTAATGCGTGCTGCTGGTAAAGATGGAACAAAACTATTTAGTAAGCTATTGTATATGAACATATATATATATTTTATTATCTTTTACGTTGCTAAATAATTTTTATTTATTTATTTATAAATCAGTGGATATACATTCATGGGTTAATTATGATTTAATGCTAGATAAATGCTTCGTAGGATTTTTGGTTGGTATAAAAACTGCGTTGACTTGAAGGGAATATATAATATTATGTATAGTATGGAATAGTAAATATATACGTAGTATACGTAGTCTATAAATTACGATGTATACGTAGCATGTATATTTATAATTCTATACATTATACATGCATATAATAAAATTTTTAAAAAAATCATACATTCGATAAGATAGTATAAAATCCAGTTATACGTACATAACTGTTATGAAGAACTACGTATAGGGTTCGAGGCACAGGGGCATGGGCATGCCTTTTGGGCATGCCTTGGGGGCATGCCTATGGGCATGCCACTTGGC